CCATCGGAGTAAGAGCCGTGGCATCGCCCCGATCGATAAGGAGCTGCTGGGAACAGATCCCGGCGAGCTGGCGGCGATGGGAGCAGACAGACCCACCCTGACGCACGACGACCGTGACTTTGGCTCATTGTGCATCCCGATTCCCCGCCGCAGAAGACATAAATGTGCCCGTAGGTGGCCCAGAAACACTGACTTCTTAAAAAGGAAAAAAAAAAAAAAAAAGAATGAATGCAGCGTCTGTCATCCTTTCGCAGAATTGTTATTTTTTGTGTGTAGTTGGTGCTTGTTTTCCAAAGATTTACATTTTTGTGCATGTGTCATTCGCTTTTCACGCATTTTGAGACCTTGGCGCTTAGAAATTCAAAACACTTGTCAGTCACGTCAATCCTTCTGGACAAAACAGAGCTGCCACTTGGATGGGTAAAAAAACCCCAAAAAAACAAAACACACTTTTCTATCAAGCTGTGACTCGGTCACCCTACTCAATGCAAGCAAGACAATGTTTAGAGAAAGCAAAAAGAAAGATCTGAGTTTTTCTACTCGTCGGTGGAACTAAATTGATTAAGGTCATTTCCTAGGTAGGTTTGAAATCTTCTGCAACAATTTTTTGAAAAGAGAAAGAAAAGTGTGTGTGTGTGTGTGTCCCAAAAGAAAAAAAAAGGGGAAAAGTCACTACTGCAAAAACATTAAATCTGCTTGGGTAACTCAGAATATATGTTGGCAAGGCAACATATCTCAGCTTGAACAGTAAACCTGCTATGTCAGAGGCTCTGCAACATACGAAAGAGACTTGGGTTTCAATATATCATGCTGAATTTGCTTCTTTTCAGCCTTTCACGGCAAAGTATTTGATGTCTGTCCTTTCACTGTTGCAACTGATAGGGTGACCTTACTTAAAAGTTTCCTGACCTTTGCTGTTGTCCGTATTGTTCTGCTAAAATGTAATTTAACTCTTTTTTCTTTAGTCTGGAAATAGCACTGTACAGACAGCAAACGTGATAGGGGTTTGGGGTTTTTTTTCCCCCCTAACCTAGAGGCGAGAGGTAAAACCCATCCGTCATCAGAACTGGCTTAAAACCAGATGATGTCAAGAAGCGTTATGACGTACAGCGGCCCAGACCCTCTGCTGAAGTGGACCCGTTGAGTTGCGCTGATCTCATACTTCACGTCAAAGCTGACGTCTTCAGAGGGTCCGGCAGGTTTCCATAAAGCACTTTCCCATAAAGATATATACCTTCTCGGTAAGGTAAATACCCCGAGGGGCCTTATTCTCATGCTCTTACTCCAGTGACGAAGAGCACCCTACTCAGTACTTTAGCCGTAGGATTGAGCGGTCCCCCAGGATTCACAGCATCACCGGGATGTTGGTATCTCTTCGGTACTATGAAGTTACGACGTTTCTAGGCTAGAGACCTTTAGCTAAGACCTTGGACGTGTTCCACATAACCCCAGAAAACAAAATAGGTCAAAACCTACATGAAAAAAGCAAACTGTTTTCAAACAGCAACTACCAAAATGAAGGCAGACTGATTTTTATTTTTTTTTTCTCGTGACAGAAGGTGTTAGAAGAGTCAGCCACATGCTTTAGGGTTACAGCTGGATTATCCATCACACAGGAGCTTTGTGAGCCCGGTAAGAACAATATTATAACCCTGTCACACAAGTACTTGTGCAAAAACGAACTCACGTCGTTATCATCTGTTTTGTCGCTATTATTACGTCTTTGCGTTATGGCTGTACGCGGGTATTACACTGCATTAGTGATGCAGATGCGCACATCTGCACTCAACACACGTACATTTGCACAGGATTATGGCTAAAATTCCTGATCCTACTTATAAAAAGCCCTATAAATCCTGGCTAGCTCCCTTTAAATCAGCAGCGCTATCCTGCTGCAAATCCTGGGTGTAAATCAGAGCGGACCCTGGCTCAGATACTCTTCCAACCGCGCACCGTAACGGAACGGAGGGGCTAAAACCAAACCCTGGGCTCCGTACACATCAGTTCCCCCCCAAAAAATCCATCCCCGTTGCATCGTGCCCTGCTCGGCCCCGGAGCCCGTCCCAAAGCACCAGCTTTGGCACCGCCGCCACGTGCTTAAAATATTGCTCACAGCTGAGTTATTTCTTGCTTCTCGGGAACTTTAAACTGCTTTTACGCGCAGTGAGCTCATCAAAGGTTAGTATCTAAAGGCAGCAGCGTTGAAACCGTGAATTAGCCGAAGGAGAAACGGGCCGCTTAGGCGTTTCTTACGATACATTACCTAGACGGTTGCCAGAGGAGGTGATTTAAAGTCACTGTGCTACACCTGAATGTCGTTTATGGCTCATAAAAGGAAATCTGTGTTTAAGTAACAATAAAGCAGGACTGCACTTTCTATATATATTTTAAAAAAAAAAAAAAATCCTTTCTCAGGGAGCAGATGTATTTTTATTTGCTCAGTGCCTGCCTCCAAGGGACGTGGAGTCTGACAGCGCTGGGATGCTTTCAGCCATAAAGTCCAAGAGTTAAGCAGGAGAACTTGCTCCAGCACGGATTACGGTCAATTTTTACTCGTTTTTCCACCGAGACCTTTACACAGTGAATTTGACCTCGTGCAAAGGCAAGATCTGAACGCCTACATACATCTGTAGCAGTCTGAGGAGCAAGGGAGATCCCCAGGAACGGGCAGCCAGCCCCAAAGCCACAGCCCTGCAGCGGGAAGAAGCAGGGACCCTTCGTTAACATCCCCAGCTCCCAGGATGGGGACATTTGGCCAAACAAGGTGTAAGTCACTGTCACATCTACCCGAGGACCTGTATCTGCTGATACATTCCCTCCCATCAGACTCCAAGGGGGCCAAACCCCCTTTTTCGGCATCAGTGCAAATACAAACCGGGGTACTGTGGCACACACAGTCATGAGGAAAGCCTCCTAGAACATACACGTACGGGGTTTTTCCTGTTATACCTCTGCCAAAGCCTGCTTTGTCAGAATTTTCTGCACAAAAACAAGTCCTAATGAAAAACACGCAACAGTAACAGACAAAACTCCATCCTCCCGTCCCTCTCATGTTTTGCCTTCCGCTGGTTTCCCATCACCTGCCCGCTACCGCCCTCCTCCCAGAGTCACGGCCACCTCGGGGCTGCCCACCTCCGCACAAGTAGAGCCGATCCCCGGAGAGGACATCGCGCGCCCTTCCCGAGCCCCGGCGCTGCTGGAAAGGGAACCGGCAGGCAGCATCCTCCACCTGCCCTTTCAACAACAAGGAGACGAGGTGGGTGCTCAGCCCCAGGTTTTCTCACCCGAGGAGCTGGAAAGGACCCACGTGTGGGACGCCGCAGCTGCGGACAGCGAGGGTCGCGGTCCCGACCATGCTGCAGGTACTCGACTGCAGAGAGAGAGAAAAAAAAAAAAGAAGTTGTGAGCATCTACCAAGCTACAGCACGGCATGAGAACATCACGCTGCCCGAGATGGGACCCGAACTGAAATAGTTACGCTGCTACAAACTCAGAAATAGCCTGCAGGCACAGCCCAGCGCAGGGGAGCGGGACGCCAGAGCCGTACCCAGCACCTCTGGGGAGGACACAGCTACGCGCACGGGTGCTGGGCACGGGAAGCAACGCCCCGCTAAATCGGGAACAGTGACTTTCTCGGGATTAACGCACCACCTCCGATTTTAGCTCTCGGCGCTTTCCTCGCCGTTCAGCAGGACCTTAAGGAAGGCTCACGGGAATTTCAAAATAACCATCTCTGTGCAAACTGCTATACGTGTGCAGCGGCGCTGTGACAGTTACGCTGGCAGGCCTCCTCTGCAACCGGCTCCTCCGTTTGGGGACAGATCGGCGCTTTTTCAGAAACCCAGGACAAACGTCAGAAATACAAGGAGGGGACAGCAGACTTCGTAAAGTTGGCAAACGTCCGTTTTTATAAGATCATCTTGGAGAAGGCAGTAACGCGACGTGCAGAAAGAAACAAAGTACAGTCATGACAAAACCGTTTGGCTGTTGGGATCTGGGAGGGATAACGGCACGCTTTGATTTAACAGGAATTTAAGCGTAGCCTTCAAGGCAAAGCAGTTAGCACCGCGCCAGAGCAGCAAAACACGCAAACCAGCGCGTCAGCCGTGGCTGCGAGACATTGATTTATCCTTAGTTACCTTGTCCTGAGACGAAGGCGACCACGATTCGCTGGCTTAAAGATCGACTTCATAGATCCCGCAGCGGCCGAATCCTGCCCCACACTTCGGCAACGCGGCATTGCAAATTTAACACAAGCCATAACAAAGAGAAGAAGAGATAAAAAGGGATTTAACGCTGTCAGGACTGCTAACCCCCAAATTCCAGCGGGAGCAAACACTGCAGGGACTGAACCTGGATTAGTCCAAATATCCGCTCCATCTGCCTGCTTCCGTATTTTCCTTCCACGCGTTTATTCCTAAGCTACAGACTCAGCCTTTCATCGCTCCCAACAGCTTTCCCCTTATAAATCCATCAGCTCTACCTCCCCAAACAGCACAGCCCTCCCCCAGACCCGCTCCTCCCACCCCTTCCCCTCTCGCCGCGCACCGGGGCCGTCTCACATTCCTCCCTTCGAGGGTTTTTCTGCCCACCGTCAACAAACACCAGGAAAATACAGACTGACCCCTTTGCTCCCGCACCAAAAGAGAGAAGGCGGCTTTGGGATTTCTTCTTTTTGGCTTTTTCTCCTAAGGAGGAGGAGGAGGACGGCAAGTCAAACCACCGGCAGGCATAGATAATTATTTTTTTTTTTCTCCCCAGATCTTTATTTTACAAAAATAACTTACAAATAGAGACAACTCTCCGAAGTAAGATCATTCATTCTGTGCATAAGGATACAGCTTTGTGAAGTACGGGCGTAGGAGTTACCAACTCTTACAATACTGATAATTTTAACATGACGGTAACTATATTACAGGACATACATTTCATGCTCCAGACACGCGGGTATGACCACCACATGAAGCTACAGTCGATAAAGTGTGCCAGCCAGGGAGGATGCACCTAAGAGATCATTTCCATACTGCTAATTATCGGCATCCTCTCACCTACGACAGTTTAAAACCAAACGGCAATCTAACACTCAGACTACAGCACTCTGGATACACTCATCAGCAATATACTCCAAATACATGATAAAAATATATTTAACTTTCAAATACAATTGTATAAGGTACACCAAGAGCCAGAAAATAAAGTCTCGAGCTTTTAAATACAACACACTATATATATATAACATATACAAGGAGACGAGAGGGGAATCTAGACGTGGAAGAAAAAGCTTATCCTGGAAATGCATGTTATCTATGGTACACAATGGCTTTGTCTGCTAGAGAGTCCTTTCCATTTGCATAGCGTTGTCGAGAAGTCCAGGCTGGGGCAAGAAGAGATCAAACAACACACCACCAAAAGGCGTAATTTTGGTACCACTTCCATTTCACCCCTGATTCTAACTCTTAAGTCATAGTTTGCTATTTCTCTTTTGTAGGCTGGAATTCACGCCCCGTTCGTTACAAGCACAGGCAAAAGGGGGATTAAAAAAAAAAAAAAAACAAAAAACAAACCAAACACAAAAAACAACAAACCAACACAAAACCCCCAAGTCAAACAGTCAAGGTTTCTTTATGGGGTTGCAGTCATTTGGCATTTTGCTCCAGAGCAGAGTATTCTGCTTCCGACACTCTGGAAGCATCGATAAGTTTAGTGAGACCAGTTTTGGCAGAGTACTTGAAAATAAAAGCTTTCATGAGCTCGTATCTGTAGTTGCGGTTAATGAAGCTGTAAAGGATGGGGTTGACGCAGCAATGGACTAGAGAGAAACACTGAGTGATGTGAAGGGTGGCGTACAAAAAGTTCTCCATCTGACAACTGAAAGGTATGAAGTGAAGGCTATAGAAGATGTCAAGAAGGACAGCTATGTGGTAGGGTAGCCAGCAGACAAGAAACACGACCACGTAGGAGAAAATGATCTTCCCGTTGCTCTTCCTCTCTTGGTCACTGGAGGTGGAGATGGTCTTCGCCAGGAGGAAATAAAAGAGAGCAATGATGGGAAAAGGGATAAGAAAGCCCAGCACGATGGAGATGAGCTCCATGCCAATCAACCACTCTTTGAAGCTCTCCTCTGGATAGACAGGACGGCAATAGGTTTCGTTGTTGGAAGAGACGGTCTTGAGATAATAGGTGTCCGGGAGAGACGCGGAGAAGGCAAGGAACCACACTAAGATGCAGATGCAGCGACGGATTATCTTCTTCTTGCGATTGCTGGAATTGGTGAAATAGGCAACTGAGAGGTAGCGGTCCACGCTCATGCACGCCAGGAAGAAGATGCTGCCATACAAGTTGATGGAAAATATAAGGTGAGTTATCTTGCACGTGATTTCTCCCATGTACCACTGGTTATGCTGGACGAGGGAGACGACCCACACCGGAAGGGTGATGACAACGCACAGATCGGCAATAGCCAAATTGAAAATGTAGAGGTGGGTTTCATAGCCAGTCATTTTGGCTTGGAGGTTGACCCACACCACAACCGAGTTGGCCACCAGCCCTATGACAAAGATGAAAATGTAGAAGAAGGACAGGGTGTATAGCAGGGCGCTTTTGTTGAGCGTGCCAGGGCATGTTGTCGCATCAACCGTGATGCAGTCACCGTTGTTGCACGTCCAGTTGATCTCTGTCAAGTTGGCCGTTTCCAGAAAATCAAGGATGGAAGTCAAATCAAGTGCACTCATGTTCGCTCAGTTCAGAGTTCGAGCGACCTACAGGCAAAATAGGATCAAAAGAATCGATTTAAGTTAACAGAGATGTTTCTGCTGCCATCGTCATACCGTAAAGCACACGCAGGACAGGCTGGTTTAGTGATGTCCTATTCTTGTAAAGCGCTTTCCATTAAAGACACTCGTGGAGTAAAATGACCAAAACAGACACATAAAGCAGCTCGTCTGGTCGACAAGAGAGGAACTAGATTTTTGTGTGTGTGTGTGATTTTTTTTTTTTTTCCTTGCAGCTCATGTCTGACATCATCAGGTTGGCTATCGTCCCCGGGTGTGAAATCCGCAAAGTACACCGTGGCCAAATAAATGTCAGGTGACTAAATCTGTCTTCTCCAGCATAAATGATGATACTATCGCTTTCAGCAGGGGAATCTTTAAGCCATTTTATCTGCACTCCCTCGAGCGTAGTAGAATTGATCTGGCTGATACACGGTACCGTAAAACATTTACCACGAGCTCTGGTCAGCATCTTGTCGAGCCCAGCTCCAGCTGCATTAAGCACAAATGGGGAACTAAGGGGCTTTGTACCCTCGTCCAATTTTAAATTTAAATCCTGCTCTATCCCCCCCTTTTCCCTTGAATTCTGTTTTACAAAGCATCCCCTGCGTTTAACGATTATCACGTAGCTTTGAGAAAAGAAAAAAAGAAAAAAAAGTCAGAGCTTGACCGCTGAGCAGATCTGCTGGGCTTAAGTTTTCTTTTTAGGAGAGCGCTTTGATTTACAAAACACTCCCCCATCACAGCTGGCTCCACAACAACTGCTTCCTCCCCACCCTTTTGCTTTTCTACATCTATTTTTCTTGCCTCTGCATCGCCTTCTTCCATCGGCAGGCAGCAGACAAAGCAAGGGGCTCCTCATTAACTTCCTCACCAGCAGACCCACGCGGCTTACCCAAAATCCGAGGCCGGGCTGCTAATTACCGTTGCGCTTTTGGGGTGGTATAAAACCGCTGCCTCCCCTGCCAGGACCCTCCCACCCTGCAGGGCCAACAGTACCACCCACAGGAGCAGCCGGCCGCCTTGGCTCGTGACCACCACGCTTCAGCCAAGCAAGTTTTGGAGCCCCGTGTCCGTGGGCTCCGGCTTGGGACATGCCAAAATAAAGATGGAGAGGTGAGTTTCTGAGAGATGGACCCCATCTCACCCATAGCTTCGCTTGAGGTGGAGCATCAGGTCAGCCAGCCCACCCATAGTCCCCACCACGGACGCTTCTAGCATCCTCAATGGTGGCCACCTTGTTCTTCCCCATGACCCCAGCCACGAGAGATACCCCCTGATGCCACCCCAGCCCCGGGGAGAGCAGCTGGAGAGAGCAACTGGGGGGAACAACTCGGACAGCCACCTGTATCGCTGAACATCCTTGACCCCACCGTAGGACCTCTTGGTGGGGATTACAGGAGCACAGAGGGGACAGCGAGCAGCGAAGAGCTCGGACACGCTCCCGTGCTGAGCATCCTCTTCTCGCCCCCGCTTCCCGAAAAGGGATGTCGGTTGATACAGCACCTTTCGCTCCTCCATCTGCATAATTGGCTCTTCCCAAACCTCCCACCCTCCCCGGGACACAGGCTACGGAAGAGAAGGGAGATAAGGGGGGAGATTACCGGGGGAGAATTAGGCACTATTGTCCCAGTGGAGGGGAAGCTGGTGGCACTAACAATGAGGGGGGCTGTGCACACATCCAGGGGAGATCAAATCTCCCCGCAAACAGAGCCCAAATTGGCCCCGCGAGGAGATCTAACCTCTCACTTCAAACCTACGCAGCCTTCCAGGCTTTCATCCCGCCGGCCTGCTGAAAGACAGAGTTGAGATTCAAACCAAGCTAAGTGTGGATTCTGCTAAAACGCTGGCTAAAGAGGGAGCCGAAACAGCGGCAGCTTTCTGTCCTGGGACAGATGATACCCCGTCTCCTGGTATCATCGTGGGTGATCTAACCCCGGTCTGCGCAGGGCAGAAGGGCTGATCCTGCCCCCCGCAGAGACGCAGCCCACCCTCAAGCTGGCCGTACCACCCAGCTGGCGCGGGCAGCAGGGACGCGTGCCGCCCAGGCGCAGCTCCCCAGGATGCTCGCTTCAGCCCAGGGCTGCAGGTGGGAGAGAGGGATGAGTCTCCCGACAGACCTCATCCAGGGTCCCACCACTACTGCTGCGTCCCCAGCGCAAACACTTTTCAAGGCCTCTCAAGCACGGGGAGAGGCAGCACCGTCCCCAAGTCCCCGTATCTCAAAACTAAAGCAAACTCCCTAAAAACCACAGAACTCCTGGCCCTGCGGCATGGGCCACCGTCTCCTGCTGGTATTTGTGGCCAGCGAGGCAAGCAGAGCGGGAGGAACACAGGCCACCCCCGTACCACCCCACAGAAGTAGCACTGGTGGGCCTGGGCATCTTCTAGGAAAGCACGTGGTCCAACAAGGAGAGCGGGCTCATTCCACATCTCGAGACCCCAACTCAAGCCAACCTCCAGGACGGGGCCATGCCCATCCACCACCAAGCCTCTAGCACATCCCCTAAGGGAGGAGAAACTCAGACCCGGCTGCAGGGCGTCAGATCTGAGGCAGCGAGGGCAAGCAAGGAGGCAAGCAACAGGGCAGCAAAAATCCCATGAAGTTGGGGCTCACACCAATACTGGGGACACCATGGCCACCACGGCCACCAGTCGAGGACAGCAGCTAGGAGAGGGCACCACCATCCCAGCTGCTCAACTCACAACCACTCCGGGGATCTTAATGAACACAAGCGATGCTCAGCCCGAACCTCAGCCTGCATCCACTCCACAAGCAGGTCTGCTGCATGCACGTGCATCCATCTGTCCGGGGCCGCCCGCATGCCTCTGCGCTTTCGCGTCCCCAGCGCGGTAATAAAAATCTGAAAGCGATACGGCCTCCCAGGCTCAAAGCCCTGCCGAGGAGGATGGCTATATTCAGAGATTACAGCCTTACAAGGCCGGGCTCTCTATAGTCTGGGATTAGCTGCTGTAACCCGAGCTCTGATTCCCACCCAGATTAGCTGGGAGGTGTGGGGGGAACCCACCAGACAAACTCAATAAAGCCGCTCTGTGCTCCTAAAAAAATACCTTTAGCGCTCTCTGCAGACAGCACAATATCCTAAAAACTCACGAAGGCAGCTGGAATTGCATTTTGCGTCCGCCGCGCTGCAAAGCTCTCGCAGGCCGTCGCCCTCTGCCCAGCAGGCACGTGTGTCGTGGCCGGTCCCTGCTAGTTCGCAGGAGTTACGGCACGAAGCGAAAGGACCTGCACCCGAAATCCTGCTCCAGACACCCAGAGGCGTCCCCGAAGCCGACGCAGCCCGCAGGACT